AAGGTAGGGTAAGTCGGCCGCCAAGGTAGGCCCTACTCTACCTAACACCCTTTATAAGGTAGTGTATATACTTAGAATGTATATATATGTATATATATATATGTATACGTACATAATAATATGATATCGCAAAGTGCGAACGAAGAAAAAGTAGATAATTATATAACAAGTGCACCTAAATGAGAAAGTCAGAGGGTAGAATTAATGGGCCTAGAATTATCGAGAGACACGAAAAGTAATCAACAGTTTTATCCGCCCATTATTTCCTTCTAGAGATTTCTACGACCACATAATATATACAGGTCATCTACAAAAATGATATAAAAAAAGGATGGTTTGATTATTTTTTTTATTGTGTGTTTCCACGAAAAAATTATGTTAAAGCCATTTTTGGTACAAAGTTTCTTGTCGAAAGTGTACTCGAAGTGTCTTAAACTCAGTCCAAATGAAAGCTGAGACACATGCCGGTCGATTAATGATATATTGTTTCATGTACTGCCAGGAAATAAATATAACAAAGGTTTAAATATTATGAAAATAAGAGTAATGTCGGTATCGACAGCGATAGCATTGGCATACACGTGCATTTTTTGTTCACTTTAGATCAAGTTATTTCAAAGACGACACTGTGATTTTTAACAGTGGCTTTATGTTATTTTACCACGAATAAGATAAAACTGTGGTACAAAAAGTTTGCACTGATGAACTTTTACTGATTGGTATGTAATTATGCTTTATATTCAATTTAGTTAACCGAGCTTGTGTTTTACTTCTCCCGTAAAACACAAATTGATTAGTTAATCAGGTGGTTCCAGCATGTGGCGATGGCCTGGAGCCTCCAAAATTGCTGCGAACTTGTTTGATTCAGCTGATTCATTATAAGGAAATGTTTACTTTTGGTACAAATACAGCCTATGATAAGCAAACTCTAAAAGAAACAAATTATTTTTCCCCTTGGAAGAAGCCTTACGTATACGAAATTGAGTTTTTTACATCAGGAAGCGGTACTGATACTGTTGACTGTATTTTTTCCATTTAGGTACTCGCGAATAATATAATAGGCAATATGCGTCTGTAAGTTGAATAAGTCTGGACACAATTTGAGCCTGCGTTAACGGCATATATGTTTAGAAAGCACTCGGAACAAAAAAATAAGTATTTTCCGTGTGGAACAATAATTTTTATTACTTACGCAAGTATTGCCAACTATGGAAATTTACATAATTTTATACGGTTCTAAAACTCGACAAACGTTAATAACAAATGAAATTGTGTTTTTTTTCCGAATAAGTACTTTCGAGTAAAAAATATCGATAGTTTTCTGTCAAAAGTATATCTGTTAAAGACAACCATTTGTTGAGAAATATTATTTTCTAAGCATTAAAAAANAAACATATATATGTATACATAAGCGCATATTCTTGTGCCACAAGCATTAATATTATTATTATTTATTTAATACTATAATGTTTCTAATACAAATATTTAACAATCCCTCATTACTATTTACTTTCACATGTAAACTCCGAGAACTTTCTAATATGTGAAAACAAGAACCTATCATGAGAACATTTCCGTAGACAATGTAACTTTCATTTAAAGTTTTTTCTCGACTGTCAACTATAGTGCATTTAATTAATATTTCAACAATATTTTAAGCCTCTTATTTTACAACTTTCAACTTTTTCTTGCCTGTCGTAGATGCTGTGTATTTGACTGCTCATCAATTTATTATTTCATCTACCACTTCCATAGCAGTGTCATACGCAATGAAGAATTAAGGCTGGCCAAAAAAATATAACTCGTATCGAAAATCCACAATTTACTTATTTAATTTCCAATCAATAAAGAAACTTTTTTTTTCTCAATTTTTTGAGCCAATGGGTACCAGTAATAGATTGTTACGATTAAAAATAAATCCGCACATGATTTTTCACGCTACTGGATTTAGTTATCAAGAAAAATCGGAGCCCACTCGCCTTGAGCTCATAGAAAATGAGTTACGTGGATTGTCATTTGACGCTTGCAGCCAAAGATGCATCGATACCTACGTAGAGCCACCGTAAGTAAGTAATTGATCTATCTCATCCAAGGACTTGAGTGACAATAAAACGCAGTCACTGGTCTTTTATATAGATCATAATCATTTTAGCCGAAAAACTTCAATTATATCTATATTTGAATGAAAAATAACCCACACTTGAAAAATTTGATAATTGTACTAATACGTTATTTAAATAAAAAACGCTAGATAGTTAATTAATTTTAATAAAAATTGTTCGCTTTAATTTTTTCTTCTTCGCTAAACCAACTCAGTTAGCTCATGAAGGGCAAACGAATAATCAATCGATCATCAATCAGTGAATATCACGATGATCCGGCGAAAATATCTAAATGAACTATTTACAACTCGTACACTGATGAACTATTGAGATCTAGTGCTGCGTCGGCGAAGCATGTCGTTGATAAGCTGTACTATCTTACGAGTAAATGGTTCAGTTGCGCAATGGATTTTTTTTTATCTGGCTAATAAACAAGTAACATTTATTGACAAGATACAAAAAAAAAAAAAAAAAAACATTAGAATCTATAAATGCAAATCATGCGAGTAGTACGTGATCAATACAATCGATAGTCAAAATTATGGTTGCTGTTGAATTTTAATATTGCGGTGAAGATATTTTACGGCAGTGATATTTTAATTAATACATTTACTGATACTTGACGAGAAAATGTTCTGCAGTACACGTACAAATAAACTACGTGAATCCGACGTAGTGCAAAAATAATAAATTTTTTACACGTAGTCACAACAAAGTTTGCCTTTGAAGCTGTCGATTAGAAATTTATTTTATGAATCGTAGATTTGATTCGAGGCCCCCCTTTCGGCAATTGATGAAAAAATACAATCCACTATTCATGTCAATTTCCATAGAAAAAAAAAAAAAAAANAAAAAAAAAAAAAAAAAAAAAAAAAAAAAAAAAAAAAAAAAAAAAACCACAACAATTAAACTTGAATTTCTACTCCAACCAAGTGATCCCCCCAAATATACACAGAAACGAGGGGCTCTTTGCAAATAATCCACGAGTAGCCACCGCCTATACATGTATCGCGCCGATTGACACTTATCCTCTCGAAATCGCGGACAGCGATAAATCATACTTAATCGTCTCGCCGATCCCACGAAGGAAACCTCATAGCGACCGATAAACCCATCGGGCAACCAGACCTACTAACGATCCAGCCCACTTTTGGCTCAGCCCCGCTTTCGTCCGATCCTGAAACATTAATTAGTTTTCAACGAGTTAACGGACACTCTTGCACTTTTCCTCTCTCGTATAAATATTATCTACACACACGATGCACACATAACGGCGCACGCATGAGATGTAGAAAGAATCTTGTGAACGCGCCTCTCTCTTGCGCTCTTAGTTGTATGGAAAGTGAGAGGAGGCGCACTGCAACTCGGAACTGCCATCACCGCGAACGCCAGTCCGGTTTTTGCTAGCTAACTGAACTGTTATCCCATGTAATACTACTTATACCACCGGAGGAGCGTCGCGCCGATTCGAGGGCCCAATGGCTCATCCTTTGGATTCCGCGTGAGCCTCGCAAGTGCTTCGTTGAGCTGTCGGTCATTGATATAAACTCGTCTTTACAATGGATACAATAATAAGGCCTGTCAAAGCGATAACGTGCGCTCGTGGGACAGCTACGCGAGCGTATCGCGCGATCGTTGGTGTTTCAAGCGTCTAATCTGCACTGAAGATTTTTATTTCTTTTCGTCCGACCAGTGAGTTTGGTAGTTTTATTTCATTGTGACTCGAGAGTAGTGCGATCATTCAAGTTTTCCGGTTGTTTGTTCTTTTTCTTCCCTGTTAATTGCTTTAGACGTGTACTTACCGATTTCGTAATTATATGTATACCGATCGCCCATTCTTCGATCTTCGCTTCTATTTTATTTTTCATTTTTCCTGCAGTACGGTAATAACAGATTTTTCAGTACTTTTTGGATAACTCTTTGAAGAAATAGCGGTCCTTTGCCACCTGCCAGAATTTCTTTTTTTCTTTCATTTAAACAACATTCGATAGTTTCCAAAGTTATGCCTGAAAAAACCTTTCATCGTGAAACATAAAAAAAAACATATATATGTATACATAAGCGCATATTCTTGTGCCACAAGCATTAAAAATAAAACACGACACACTGGACGAACTGGTTGATTTGCACACGCTTTGATATTCAAATTATATACCTGCCCGCGCGTGCCATTACAACAACGCGCTCTGTTGTCTATTTTTTTTCTTTTTTTTTTTTCAAGCCCATGCTTGAGAGATGGTTATCAATCACGTCAATTACTACGACAATAACGAGTTTACCAAGATTGGATTTTGTCATTAGATAGCGTTTATACATGCTTTGATAACATTCCGAAGGTACCAGACTCGTGAAACGTTTAGTTCTATTCTTTTATCATCGATGCGTCATCGCGTCGATCGTATGCTTAGACATTTTTTTTTTCTTTTTCGAACGGACCACAGTTTGGACGGTAATTTTATTATCATAGCATCTGATTTGCGGAAGTACAAGTTTATTTATTATTACCATTGTCAATACAAACAAAATAAATAAGAAAAGAAAAAAGTAAAAACATGAAAGAAGGTGAAGAAAAAAGTGGGGAGGAAACGGAGAAATGCGCGGCAATGGAAGAGTGCACGACGGAAGCGGACGATTGCACGGCGGAGACTCCGCTAAGGCAGCAGGATAATGTCGAGAATAAGGATGGTATTGAAATAAACAAGATCCCCACGACACCGCTTGCGGATGGGCCTCGTCAATTCGACGTGCAGTTTAGTAATGTGTACTTTTCTGTGCCGTTGAAAAAAGGCAAGTGCTGATTACAGAATTGATTCTAAAAAATGTGTTTACGTAAATATGTATAAATTTCGGTATTATTTGATGATTGGTCATTCGATTGTTGGATGAAAAATATTTAGACTTTGAAGATGTTTTTTTTCTGATATAAACACATTTTATTGACACATAAGACATTTTTTTGTTTTAAAGATAAAGTTTTTGTTTAAAATCAAAGCTGAAAACGTGATGTTCCTTAATAATCGTATATCGAGGTCATACCGAATTAATCGTATAAATATGAAAATTATTTAATCAATCGGTACACTGGCTCTTACTCATAGCGTTCGCTTCTCAAATATAGATTACAAACGAAGTAACTACTTTTTTAAGACTCGTTACAACCACAAATTGTTGCAAAAATTCACATTAGTCGTGGTTACTCTGCAACAATGTATTACACTTCAAGTGCACTTGTAAACACGTGTCATAAGATGTAAATTGTGAAAATTTAAATGCATTCGTTGGACAAATAAATTACGTAAATTATGCTATCAAGCAACATCAGCATGAGCAACACTTATACTATCAAGGGCGAACAATTTTTGCCCGAGAAAAATAAGTTGTAAATTCATAATGAATGGTTATTGAAAAAAAAAAACACCTATTGTGCTGCAAAATTTTTTTTACTGTATTATTTAAAAGCTGACACTTATAAACATCCTTGAAAACTGACAAAAAATAGTTGTACTTTAGTTTTACTTTATAGACGGTATTTAAGGATCTAATATAAATTTTAAAAATTTTAAAACATACAGTTTGTTTTGCGTATAATTATACGTGCAGTATGAGTACACTTTTTACCCTGGTAGTATTTTTCCTAAATTTAACGAATTGTTTCATCCATTTAATAAATGATTTTCTAAATGTTTGATAAATCAACCATTCATTACTGGACGATAACTATTAATATATCTCAGACACTAAAATGTATTTTTTTGTTATTAAAAAATTTTGATGTGACTTTGTGTCCTTATTCATGCGGTTACTTGCGGTGTGATTTTTCCTTATTTCAGCAAAACTTTGGTTTTATATGTAAGTATACTTTCTGAAGCAAATAATCAACTGAAAAAATTTCAATGTCCACTGAAGGTTTCTTAGTACTGGTGAAAGATTGCCACAGTAATGTTTCCAAACAAAGGTAGAAGTAAAAAAAAAAAAAAAAAAAAAANCGTTACGTCGGACACGAATTTTTTCGTCTTCTTGAACAAGCAAAAGTCGAAGTCTTCGTTCACGCAATCCAGTGGCTTTCTGTCCAGACCGTAAATCGCGTTAACGTAACTGCAAGGGGGAAACAGTCATTGGTTAATTTGGAAAAAAAAAAAAAAAATACCCATGTGAATTCTGGAAAATATAGAAGATGATCTGCATCCTCACGACCATACTCGCCCAAACTTTCGGCATCGCGACTGGGGCGGCGAATAGACGTTTCATTTATTTATTTATTTTTTTTTTTCAACCACCATACGTTAAAAATACATGCTCTGCAAGATAAAAAAAAAAAACACGTTGTAGCAAAGTTGGGTAAAAGTTGGGTTTCCCCGTCAGGCCTGTGGAAGGAGATTTTGCACAACGTCAGCGGCGAATTCCGCGCCGGCCGGCTCACCGCGATCCTCGGACCCTCGGGCTCCGGCAAGACAACGCTACTGAGCCTCATAGCCTGTCGACGCAACAACTGCAAAATCAACAACCCGAACGCCAACGACCGACCCGAGACGACGACAACGCGCATGAGCGCCTGCTACGTCCCCCAGGAGTTCGAGCTCATGCCCTTCCTCACGACTCGCGAGACCATCTACATCGCTTCCAGGCTCAAGTTGTCGCCCAAGGACCACGACGACGCCTCTAGAAACGCAATAGTGAGTACAGCGAAGGACAACATTTCCTTATCTCGTCTGTATCAATCATTTTGCCCTTTAATATAAATATACCGTTACATTGTGTAGGTATGTGTGTGTACATTGTACCAGAGAAAATTTATACTTTAAGCAACACTTTCGTAACGCACGAGTATACGCGTCACATTACACTTTGTATCGATAGATTACACGTGTATCTTTGCTGCAATGCTACACCAATGTACAACATACATCTATACTTGTATTCGTGTGAGCTCGTGTTAACACAACACATTATCCATACCATCTCTCCAACTCGTAAAAAAAGAAAAAAAAGAAAAAAAAAAAAAAATGCAATCACAAACAGATCCAAGACGTGGCGGAGAAGCTGAGCTTGCTGGGCTCCATGAACACACTCGCGTGTAACCTGAGCGGCGGGGAGAAGAAGAGGCTGTCGATAGCCGTGGAGATGATTACGAGCCCGTCGTTGTTGCTCCTCGACGAGCCGACCAGTGGCCTCGACAGCGCATCCAGTAATCAAGTACGGGTGTTACATGCTTCGTTTACTTTTTCCTTCTTTTTTTTTTTTTCTTTTTTTTATTTTGTGGTAAAATGCTCAAACGAAATGTGAATAATACGATTGCGAGGCCAAAAAAACAACAGGTGATTAGTTTGCTGAGCTTCATGGCCCGTCAAGGTTGTACGGTCGCTTGCGTGGTGCACCAGCCGAGCAGTCGGATGACCCAGTCGTTCGACGACCTGATGATCATGAACCAAGGCCGGTGCGCTTACTGCGGCCCCCGCGACAAAGTCCTCGATCACTTTCGAGCCTCTGGCTATGTCTGCCCGGATTTTTACAATCTCTCGGAATTTCGTAAGTTTACAACGTATCTTTTCTTTTTTCCTTTTTTTTTTTTTATCTCTTGTTGATTTAATCAATTAAAGCATGATCATCGGTGCCCGCACTCTCGAATACAATTTTTTTTTATCGTGTTCACCAAGGTGATAATCAATTCATTGATTACACGGGTAATTATAAACATTTACTCGATTGATTACACGTAAGCTCGATTAAACACTCAGGCACAAATTTAATAATCATAAAAATTACCATACTATAGAATGGTAATCTAATATCACTCTGGAGAGTAGAAACTTTTTACGATTAGAGTACTGTCATTGGATTTGTTAATTTTATACAGCAAATCAAGTACAACAGATTAAGTTGCCAAAATGTACAAAGTCTCTAAATTATCACAGCTCAGTAGTTTTGTTGATGAACGATTTTCGGAGCATAGCAAAGAAAAAAAAAAAGCTATCATTTACACCTGTTATTTTTTAATTGTGCCGTGCAATTCGTCCTTCTTTGCTCGGATAAAAGGCTGGTTTTTTTTATAGGTAACGCAGAGTATTTTTACTCATTGCTGTACCGGGGAAGACAAGAAAAGGAATGAAAATTACTGAGCTAGAACGGCAATTTGGTATAATTATCCAATCTAGGGACCTTTTTTTACCATGCAAACGATAAAAGTCAGCGTAATGGAAAAACTATTGTAAAAAGTATCTAGAAAACATCAAAGCAGCACCAAATAACCATTCCTTCCCAAGAAATTTTACAATTTTTAGTCACTCGGGGCGTATTGGTATATACAGATCGAAACCGGATGGAAAATAAATAATTTACAATGTGTGCGTAGTGCTGGAGGTGGTGACGGGCCAAAGGGGTGGCGATTACGAGTTGACCAGCGGCGGCAAAACCTCCGCGGACCGGACAGAATCCACCGCTGCCGATGACGACAAGCTGTCGCAGGTTAGCTCGGTCCGGAGCTGGGGCGAAGAAATCTTCATGCCCGAGAGACACTACGCGGTATCCTCCTGGGAACAGCACAAGGTCCTGCTGAGGCGAGCTTTCATCTGCATTTCTCGAGACAACGTGAGATCACGGCCACGCATTATGCACACGGGTGTGGTTACCATTTGTGCCTTGTTTAACGGAGACGCCTTTTTGTTTTTCTCTACTAGACCCTGACGAAAATGAGACTATCCGCGCACCTCATAGTGGCCGTGCTCCTGGGACTGGTGTTCTACGATTTCGGCGAGGACGCCAGTAAGGTCCAGAGCAACGTCGCCGCTCTCTTCTTTTTTGCCCTGTTCTTGTTCTTCGCCAATGCCATGCCCGCCGTACAAACGTGTGCGTAATTATGACAACAAATATATTATAAGCCAAGCCGTGAATTTTTAAGCCATTTTGGTCCATTTTGCTCTTTCGATCGCAGTTCCGTCCGAAACGAGGGTCTTCCTCCGAGAGAACGCCAACAACTGGTACTCGCTGGAATCTTACTACGTCACCAAGGTCCTCTCCGATCTTCCACTCCAGGTACATTGCCATTTTTCTTTTAATCCAGCCACAATCGAAATAAAATCAATAATGTCCCAACAGATCGTGTGCCCGACTGGTTTCTTACTGGTAGCCTACTACTTGACCGGCCAGCCTCTCGAGGCCGCGAGATTCTTCCAGGTTTGGATGATCTGCATCCTCACGACCATACTCGCCCAATCTTTCGGCATCGCGACTGGAGCGGCGTTCAGTACCCACGTAAATATGATTAAAAATTCTATGTATACCTATACGTGTAGTTGGTTTATGAGCCGAAAACTACGTTTACCGACACACAGGCTGGCACGTTTTTGGTTCCGGCATTCAACATTCCGATGTTCCTCTTTGCCGGTTTCTTCCTCAAACTCGGCGAGATTCCGTTCTACCTGCAATTCTTCAGCGATGTTAGTTACTTCCGGTGAGCAACAATAACCCCATCCAGTCACTCTCTCCTAACGACTCCAAGGTCGAATGATCGGCAAAGTAACGTTTCTTTTTTTTAGCTACGCCTTCGAGGGTTTGCTGCAGGCGGTTTACCTGGGCCGGCCGAAAATACCGTGCTACGCGGACTTTTGTTACTTGAGGACTCCCGATCGGATCCTCGGGGAGCTCGGCATGCCCTCGATGCCCCTTCACGCCACCTTGATCGCCCTCGTCGTCTGGATCGTCGGCTTGCACTCGCTCGTCTACGGCGTGCTGCGCTACAAGCTTCGCGCCAAAGTTGTCAGATGACCGCCCGTCACTTGTGTCCATATACTTATGTATCACGTATACACGGGCCGATGTCTTCAATCGATGCTGTCAGTGGAGCTTTTGCTGATGCTCACGACGGTTATATTTTTATTCTTTTTCGTCCACGTATTTTTTCTTTATTTCTTTTTTTTTTTTTTTTCTTTTTTTTTTTTCGTTTGCATTGTTAATGATTAAGAGCTTGATTATCCTGCACGCAGGGGAGACTGGCGCGTGTTGATTTATTACTCGACAATTGACAATTCAATATAAAGTTGTAATCACGTCTTTGAACTCGTCACATATGAAAAGGCGAGTGTATTTGTCAAACGAAAAATTGCGATAACTATGTGAAAATTGACCGAATCATTTCAAAAACGAATCGTATTTGGAACAGTTTAAATGGAAGATGTAATTCGCCAACTCGATCCAGTCTCCTGTACAATATGACAAATAAAAGAGTACCTGATCTGTAATTTTATATGTACGGAAATTAGAGAGCAAGTCTCAAATATTATTTTTTTAATTGTAGTGTGAGACAGTTTAAAAAAAAAAAATAATAAAAATGAGTATTTCAAAGAGACATTTTTTAGAAAAATCGATCATTCTTTCAAACATAGTAAATCATACAAAGAGTTTACCGGTACGGTAAGTATGACTATATCATATATGTAGACACAGTAGACGTTACATAAGGATACGATAGTAGCTCGTATTCGAGGTACAATTTAGGCTCCTGACAAGTTCATACATTTTTTGAAATTTTTTGTAGTTGGCAATTGTATCCATCAAGATTTTGTTCTTGTCTGGGTTTTTATAAGTTTTTTTTTCTAATCTAAAAATAAGAAAAATTGGATAAGAAGACAACGTACAAACAATAGCATAGAGAGTGAGAGAAGAGGAGAACAGGTAGCAGGTATTAACAATATAAATATAATTATGGTTTACGGCGAAGAGAAAAAAAAAATTTTTAATTGATAGTATTTATAAATAATATTTCTGAAACACAATTGTTCATCTCGATCTTAAAAGACCCGTGGTTGACAATTTAACTTCTCTATTTATTCTTTAACTAAAATAAAAAAGCTGTGCAATACAACTCAATTTATTTATTTAATGCGATGAATATTGTTTTAACTCATACAGTTGAAAAAAAACTTTTTTAACGACAACGAAACGAAACTCACTTAAAAATGAGTAATTAGATAGACGCACAATTTAACTCAATGTTTTTGTACAGTGTATTGTTGTGTTCGAAAATTATTTTTAAAAAACGTGCCGTAGTTGTTCATATTTATGTCTTGTTAATCTTCTGTACATCTAACAGTAATAATGGTAATGATTGAATAGATCACTAACAATCATAATTTTAATTATCAATTATGTGGGTACATTCTTCAAAAATTCATTATTACATTTACTTGCTATTTGTTGTATGATTAGTTGGAACACATCTCGTAATTAGTGGTAAGGGTATTTTTAAATAGAGATTTATATAGAGTATAAGAAATATTAAAACATTATAAGCGTACAATTATCAAAATGATCCGTAATAAGAAATTTTTTATGTATAAAAATAAAGTATTATTTTGACGAAGATGGCACGTGATAAAAGAACCGAAAAG